AGAGAGAGAGAGAGAGAGTCAGTACTCCGATTTACACATGAAAATGGTGAAAATATCAGTCAACCATTATTGGATGTACTAATAACAAAAACAGGAACCTCTTTAAGCACCAACGTATATACTAAGCCCACCAACATAGGGTTACGCCTGAACGGTAGAAGTGAGTGCCCCCAAAAATACAAAGCCAGTGTTCTCAATGCTTATATTCGTCGAGTGCTTACCCACTGCTCCGAATGGAGCAACGTGAGTAGAGAGTTTGAAAGAATAACTCAGGTATTGGTGAACAACGGATATAGCAACACGGAAATAAACACCGCTATAAGAAGACATCTGGACCGATGGTACAAGCCTGAACCTAGAACAGAAACCACAACACCTCCAATAAAATTATATTACAAATCAACTATGCACAGTGAACATATAAAAGAAGAAAGAATAATGAAGGAAATAATCCGTAAAGGAGTAAAAAGCACTATTCCTGACCAAAACACAGACCTGATCATATTCTATAAAACCAAGAAGACTTCCGAACTCCTTATTAAAAACAGCCCGAAGCCGACGGAGGACCCTCTACAGCAGTCAAGCGTTGTATACATGTACACTTGCCCCCATGAAGGATGTAACCTTCAATGTAAGTACATAGGTATGACGTCGACCAAGCTGACGAGGCGTTTGATCTGTCATCAATCCTGTGCCCCCAGGAATCACATGAGACAAGCCCATGACATCATCCTAACAAGAGAAATGCTGAATAAACACACCTGTATAATCGACAAAACCCAAAATGTAAGACGATTACAAATTCTTGAAGCAATTCACATAAGAATAGAACAACCTACCATGAACACCCAAATCACGGAACTATTTACTCTACCCACCATGAGAGTAAGGACAAGACCGGAATATAACGATGCCAACACAGAAGACACTGCTCAACATAATAGGCCTATTACACCTGATTAATCTGTGTATGTGCTTCGTCCCCTATTATCCCCTATTTATCCCCTATTTATCCCCTTGCCTTTTCCTTTATTCTACTAGTTTTCTCACCAGACTCCGTACTGGTATAAATCTAACGAAATCTGTAATTTCTTATCACTTGAGAATGAACCATGGAGGTTCGAAACGTTGTGCAATTGTATAATAAGTGTAATACATGCTATAGTAACTCGCTTTTTTCTACACCTTGAAAAACGAACATGAATTTTGGAGAACTCCTCTTTCAACTAAACCCAGATGCAAGAATAATAGAGGAATAGAAGCCCTAAACCGGAAGATAGTTAATACAGAATATGCGGTCATATTCAATGAGACATATATATATATTTATACACTGTGTCTCAACCTGCCACCTGCAGCTTGTAACCTGTTACAGGCTAAAATACATCGCTGTATTTCTCGAGCTGGGGGAAGATATACAGCCGAGTTGAAGGCTTGTATATTTACCGATATTAATAAATCATGTATTTTTTTCTCTCTCTCTCCTTTTCTCCTCAAATTGAGAAGAGAAAAAGTAAATATTTTTGTCTTAATTGAATTTTTCTGTTGATTATTAAGATGGTCTCAGCCTCTTGATTGGTCACTTTAGAGTTGTTAAGGAGCAATAGGGCGATGCTTGTTTCATTGGCATGCAGTGTGGTTAGACTTGTATTAGTAGTAGTTTGTTGGGTGTATTTTGTGGGGTCGTGTCTTTGTTAGTGGTGAAGTGAGGGGTGTATATAGTTGTATCTTTAAGGCATTATCGTGTCTTGAAACAGCTGAAGAAATTGAAGTTTTCGTGAATTTAAATTAAAATCGTGACTTGAAACAGCTGAAGATGTTGAAGTTTTCGTGAATTGAAGTTAAATTTCTTTCTCTTTCATTTTTATCTTGTTTGGTACCCCTCCCCCCCCCCCCCCCCCCCCGCTAAGTATTGAATGAACAAGAAAAATTTGAGACACTATATTTCGGGGGCTTTAAGGTCGGTTCCTCTGGCCCAAACCATCTTGCAGCCAACCCACTTCTATCAAAATGCCGAGAAACATTTGTAATTCATCTGTATCTGAGTGCTTCAACTTCCTTCTATGGCGACCCGATCTCTCTCTCGTTCTGGCAGACTGTCGTCGGCAGGGTAGGTCTCTCCTCACCAAGAGAAACCAACACTGGTGTCCCTTGAAACCCGTGGTCGTGGTCTCTGGCTCGTGGCATGAGCGGTTTCTAATTGCCTTTGGTGTTGGCTTTTAGCGACGGGAGGACTATTAGGGTCACCACAATACCTCACTGACCAACCAACAAGTGTTCTCTGGTCCTCTACATTGACGAGGACTGAAGCATATTGACCGAGAAGCGGGTGGAATACATATATATATATATATATATATATATATATATATATATATATATATATATATATATATATATATATATATTTATATATATTTATATATATTTATATATATATATATATATATATATATATATATATATATATATATATATATATATATATATATATATCGATCTGATTTAGAAGCTAAACTTGAGACTTAAAGGTTTGTTGAATTGATATATTTAATAAGTATAATTAATATTGTGTCTAAAGTTATACATTTGATTTTACATGAATATGGTACGAAAATGTGCAAGTTTTATTTGTAAAACAAATTGATATTGTACAAACTTTTTTTTTCCTATTCTTGAGCTGAATAAATCTGAGTTTGTAGCTTTAAGTGAGGATACATTGACCTTCAAAGTTAGCTTTTGTGCAGAATAAAATCTTTGTATTTTAGGTTTATTATTTAAGTATAATAATTTTGTTTTTTTTACTTCCAGGTCTATAAAACACGAAGCGGTTGCATTTGTCTCTATGCACATGTATAGATGTGTGTGTGTGTGTACGACAGGTGAGTTTGTGTATATATCTGTGATTACACTAAGATGACATCCTAAGAATACAGCGGCCCTCAGGGGCACTACCAACACAGTCTTCACAGTCATATCATCTGTCTCTGCACCATCTTCACCCCTATCGATCTCATCCCAATCTTCGACACCACCTGCCTCATCACCACCACCACCTGCCTCATCATCACCACCACCACCTGCCTCACCACCACCACCTGCCTCATCACCACCACCACCACCTGCCTCATCATCACCACCACCACCTGCCTCATCATCACCACCACCACCTGCCTCATCACCACCACCACCACCTGCCTCATCATCACCACCACCACCTGCCTCACCACCACAACCACCACCTGCCTCATCATCACCACCACCACCTGCCTCACCACCACCACCTGCCTCACCACCACCACCACCACCTGCCTCATCACCACCACCACCACCTGCCTCATCATCACCACCACCACCTGCCTCATCATCACCACCACCACCTGCCTCACCACCACCACCTGCCTCCACAACCACTATGGCCAGTGCTCTCATGGGTTGGGCCTAGATGGCAACATTCAGCTTCTCAGGATCTTGAATGATTTCTCAAGTTAGTTATATTGGTTGAATATTACCAAAGATAAGCAGTACTGCAGCTTAGACGAGGTTCCTCAAGTTAGTTAAGGATCAGAATATATATATATATATATATATATATATATATATATATATATATATATATATATATATATATATATATATAGCTGTTGATCACAAGATTTATATTGAAAATATCTATCAAATGCATAAAACAATTGCCAAGAAGAATTCTTATTTGGAGAATTCCGTTTATTTAGCAAATCTTCCTTATGGAATTTATATTTCTCAGCATGCTTAAGATAATGAAAGCTTCATATAGACACATAATATATACTTGAATACAACTCGTAATCTAATCCTCGTCCCCTGCATATGTACATATACATATGTATGTCTAAGTATGTGCAAGAAAATTATAAACTGGAGATATTTGGAGGTGGACAAAGCATAGAATAGACTGTCCCTGGCCTGTCTGAAGTTAGTTTAGTTTAGTTAAGATGGCTCAAGATAACCTCAAGATAGTTCATTAATTATGCACCCCATACCCATCTTGTGGGCGGTAGTGGAAAGGGTTACAGAGGCACATAATGGGCTCAGGGACTGAACCCCACAATTCATGTCTGAAGGAAGTCAAAATCTGCTCCTTTATATCGAGTCATTATAGGAAAGCATATTAGGCTTTGTTATTTGTCTTCCATATAACAGTACGAACCTCTTGAACCTCTTAAGGTTCAAGAGTCCCTTGGCCCTCGGGGTAAAGGCATCAAGAGCGCCCAGGGCTTTTTTATTTATTTATTAAGAGTTGGGTTCTAAGCTCATTGATATAACGACAGGTCCAAGAGCTGCCAGCTTCTTGTTCCAGCGCCTCAGCGTGACAATCTATAGAGGCAACACTGGTAGATCCGCCGTCCCCGCCTGGCTATCCAGGAAATAGAGGAGGAGGATGTATATAAGCCATATACGGTATATAAGCCATATACGGTATATAAGCCATATACGGTATATAAGCCGTATACGGTATATAAGCCATATACGGTATATAAGCCATATACAGCCATATACATATACTTTTCAGCCATATACATATACTTTCCAGCCATATACATATACTTTCCAGCCATATACATATACTTTCCAGCCATATACATATACTTTCCAGCCATTCACAGTAATTATTAATCAAAATATAATGCCATTTGACCTCATAAAGCAACATATAAAAATATCATTTAACTTCAAATTCATTTGCATTAGTGTTTACGAATATTCTGTCAGTGTGTTAAGAAGATTTATCTCTCGACGACAATGTTTTTACCTTCTGGCGTGAGGGAAGGTTTCTAGACGACTGGTGTAGAGAGGGGGAGAATGATAGAGAGATCAGCTAGACTATGTTTATTAGCAGCAGGTGTGGAGGGGTCGCGCGACCTGACAGCCACCTGCCACCTGGGCACGTGACCACATTTCGCGCGCGGCCCTTGTAGGGGGTCCTTTAGGGGGTGGGGGGGGGCTACGGCGGCGCCCCCTGAGGGGGGGGTGCTTGAGGGCTTCTTCCTGAGGGATGCCACGGAAGGACGCCCCTGCTACTGGATGCTGGGCGGACACCTCCTCCAGTGTGACGGTGACGAAGGGACGGCGAACTGTAGGCGTCCGTTGGGCGCTGGAGCTCCTGCAGGTGTGGGGGGACGCCCTTGTAGGTGAGGCGCCACGGCGGCCCTCAGCCAGGCTGGAGAAGAGCTCTCGGGAGCACTACGCCTTCTTACGTAGCACTACGGAGCCCTTGTGAGCCCTGTGGGGCTCTCCGGGGTACTGTGGGGCACTCTGGAGTACTGTGACGCACTCTGGAGTACTGTGACGCCCTCCGGGGTACTGTGACGCCCTCCGGGGTACTGTGACGCACTCCAGAGTACTGTGACGCCCTCCGGAGTACTGTGACGCCCTCCGGGATACTGTGACGCCCTCCGGAGTACTGTGACGCCCTCCGGAGTACTGTGACGCCCTCCGGAGTACTGTTACGCCCTCCGGAGTACTGTGACGCCCTCCGGAACACTACGCCGCCCTTTGAAGCACTGCGGTAGCCACGGTGCCACTCCTTGGTGGGTTACAGGTCACTGTTAGTCGTGCACCAGCAGGCGCCTCTGGCTCTCCCTCCGTCACTTACCGCGGCACTGTTCACCTTTAGGAGCAGGCGTCTCCTGGCACTGTCCAAGAGCGGCACTGGTTCACCACTACCCCTCCGCGGCACTGTCTTGGAGGAAGACTTCAGCGTGGCACCGTCCACCAGGAGCGTGGCACTGTCGTGTCCTCTCCGGCACCCTGACACACACACACACACACACACACACGCCACTATACATGACACTTGTATCTACACAACAGTCAGTTGTGAGTGTGAACTAGGGCGTCACCGGCGGTGGTGTTCCTCTCCACTTTGGACAGTTCCACATTTGGCAGCATGAGGACAGGCGGGCACCCGACCCGCTGTCACTACTGTCATATGACCCGTCCCTGCGGCGAGGCGGTGGCGCCGCCTGCGGGAGGTGAGGCCGCCGCAGGTCGCCGCAGGGTGGCGTCGGCGACGCGGGCGGGAGAATGTTTACCCTCGCTGGGAGCCTCTATGGCGCCGCCGTCCTCCGGCAGGATGTCCTCCAGCAGGAGCGGGGCGGCGCAGCGCAGCTTGGGGTGGAAGAGGGAGAGAGACGGCAGGGTGGGCAGCGCCGGCGGGTTGCTGGGTGGCAGGGCGTGGAAGAGGGCGGGTGGCAGGGGCGTGGGTCGCACCGGCACCGGCAGGGGCAGCGTGGGCGGCGGGAGACGGACCAAGGGGGAAGGCAGGCCGCCCGCGTGGGTGTGAAGTCCGGGCATCTGCGCCAGGGCGGCGCTGTACAGCTGCTGCAGTGACGTGGCCAGACTGGATGGCATCGAGCTCCCTAAATGGCCGACGGCGGGGCCCAGGCCCCCGAGGCCCCCGAGCCCTCCGAGGCCCCCGAGGGAACTGCCGAAGGAGCCGCCGAGAGAGGCGGCCAGGTGCCCGCTGAGGGAGTTGTTGAGGGAGGTGCTGAGCGAGCAGTTGAAGGTACTGTTGAGAGACTGGCTGAAGGCGGTGCCCAGAGAGCACGGGAGGGACGTGGGCGTGAGTGCCGCCTCCTGGTGGGGCAGGAGACTGTGGGGACTCAACGCCCCGAAGCCCAGGTTCCTCCCCGCGTAGGCTCCCACCCCTCTCAGGGTGGCCAGGTGGGCGTTAAGGTGGGCCATGTGGGTGCCGGGCGGGTACATGGGCGTAGGCGCGGTTAGCGTGGGCGGCTTGGCATCCGAGGCGGCCAGGTTTTCTATGGTGAAGGGCTGTTTGTTGTGCTGTTGTATCTCCGGGCAGGAGCTGCCCTCCGTCAGCCGCGGCGCCTCCAGGGGGTCGAGGGGCCGCCCGTGCAGGTGCGCCAGGCCGGCCTCCAGCGCCGCCTTCTCGGGCTTGGGTATCTTGAACCTCTTCCTGCGGCGGAGGAAGCTGCCGTTCTCGAACATATTCATGGCGGACGGGTGTAGAGTCCAGTAGGCGCCCTTGCCGGGCCTGTCTGGCCGGCGGGGTATCTTGATGAAGCAGTCGTTGAAGGAGAGGTTGTGGCGCAGGGAGTTCTGCCAGCGCTGAGTGTTCTTGCGGTAGTAGGGGAAGTTGTCCATAATAAACTTGTAGATCTCTGCCAGCGTGCACATCTTCTCCGGGCTGTTCCAGATGGCCATGGCCGTCAGGGAGATGTACGAGTACGGCGGCTTCTGATCCCCGTAACTCTCGCGGCAGGGACGCGGCATGGTGGCTGCTCTACACCAGGGTAGTGTGTTTCATGTGTCACTCAGATACACAGACAACCAACACTTAGCAACAATCCCTTCACGCCCCGCGGCGAGGCACGTAAGCACGAGAGAGAGAGAGAGAGAGAGCACGTGTAAGAGCCGGGGCGGCACGTCAGCAGGGCACGAGACCCGCCAGCTACTGCACGGGCCAGCTAGTGATTCCCACGTTACCGCCGTTGACGCCGCGGACCATGACGCTCGCCGCTCAGATATCGAGTTTCACTGACACCCGCCGCCGCTTCTCGGAAATCCGCGGTGCGCTATGATAATCTCGGTCGACGCCCCGCCCCAGCGCACATCACACGCGCCGCTCGCACCCCATTGGCTCCCGCCGGGGAATCGATAGCCACTCGCGGGGAGGACTCAGTGTGGGCGGGGCGACCGACGCTTCCGCGCGTGTGATTGGCCACCGCGGAGGTCTTGGCTCGACCTGCCGCCGCTGAAGAAGCTGAGGGGACGCGGGTCAAAGTAAATGTTACCACAGCTTCTCCCAATGTTATCATTAGACCCGGGGAGTAATAAAATCATTACTGGGCGGCCGGGCTTGGGCTTGGCCCGGCCCCGTGGGTGGTCGAGGGCCCTGCGGGGCAGAGCAATTATGGGCGGGCTGCCTCATGCCTGTCCAATACCATCGCCCGCCCTTATTCATTGAGGGTAAACTCGTATTTGGCCAGGGAGTCCCAAGCCCTCACTCTTAGGCTGGAGAATTTAGTGGTGGCTCCATGGGTGGGTATTAGCCACTAATCACATTCCCCGGCCCTCGCTTCTCTTCTTAACCTCCGCATTATAGCCATTTGAATTCGCAATAAGCGTAAGTAAATAACAATTATTACCCCCAAAGGGGATTCATTATCGTGTTTAAGTTCAACTATAAATTCTTCACAAAGTCGACAAGATCTTATTTGGCAGTGAAAAATAAAGACATAAGTTGTGGCCAGACACAGCACCGTGGCGCACGGGGCCGTGAGGGTAAAGAGTTTAGAGATACCATCAGTTGTTAGCCCAGATCCGCCAGGCAGGTTAAGGTATGGTTGCTAGAGCACCCGCACTCCTCCTCCTGAAGGGCACCCGCACTCCTCCTCCTGAAGGGCACCCGCACTCCTCCTGAAGGGCACCCGCACTCCTACTGAAGAGTACCCGCACTCCTGAAGTGCACCCGCACTCCTCCTGAAGGGTACTCGTACTCCTCCTGAAGGGCACCCGCACTCCTCCTGAAGGGCACCCGCACTCCTCCTGAAGGGCACCCGCACTCCTCCTGAAGGGTACTTGCACTCCTCCTGAAGGGTACCCGCACTCCTCCTGAAGGGCACCCGCACTCCTCCTGAAGGGCACCCGCACTCCTCCTGAAGGGCACCCGCACTCCTCCTGAAGGGTACTCGCACTCCTCCTGAAGGGCACCCGCACTCCTCCTGAAGGGCACCCGCACTCCTCCTGAAGGGTACTCGCACTCCTCCTGAAGGGCACCCGCACTCCTCCTGAAGGGTACCCGCACTCCTCCTGAAGGGTACCCGCACTCCTCCTGAAGGGTACTCGCACTCCTCCTGAAGGGTACTCGCACTCCTCCTGAAGGGTACTCGCACTCCTCCTGAAGGGTACTCGCACTCCTCCTGAAGGGCACCCGCACTCCTCCTGAAGGGTACCCGCACTCCTCCTGAAGGGTACTCGCACTCCTCCTGAAGGGTACTCGCACTCCTCCTGAAGGGTACTCGCACTCCTCCTGAAGGGTACTCGCACTCCTCCTGAAGGGTACTCGCACTCCTCCTGAAGGGCACCCGCACTCCTCCTGAAGAGTACCCGCACTCCTCCTGAAGGGCACCCGCACTCCTCCTGAAGAGTACCCGCACTCCTCCTGAAGGGCTACCTTGAGGTGCTTCCGGGGCTTAGTGTCCCCGCGGCCCGGTCATCGACCAGGCCTCCTGGTTGCTGAACTGATCAACCAGGCTGTTAGACGCGGCTGCTCGCAGCCTGACGTATGAGTCACAGCCTGGTTGATCAGGTATCCTTTGGAGGTGCTTATCCAGTTCTCTCTTGAACACTGTAAGGGGTCGGCCAGTTATGCCCCTTATGTGTAGTGGAAGCGTGTTGAACAGTCTCGGACCTCTGATGTTGATAGTTCTCTCTTGAACACTGTGAGGGGTCGGCCAGTTATGTCCCTTATGTGTAGCGGAAGCGTGTTGAACAGTCTCGGGCCTCTGATGTTGATAGAGTTCTCTCTCAGAGTACCTGTTGCACCTCTGCTTTTCAACGGGGGTATTCTGCACATCCTGCCATGTCTTCTGGTCTCATGTGATGTTATTTCTGTGTGCAGGTTTGGAACCAGCCCCTCTAATATTTTCCACGTGTAAATTATTATGTATCTCTCCCGCCTGCGCTCAAGGGAGTACAGATTTAGGCTCTTTAGTCGGTCCCAATAGTTTAGATGTTTTACTGAGTGGATTCTAGCAGTAAAGGATCTCTACACGCTCTCCAGGTCAGCAATTTCTCCAGCTTTGAAAGGGGCTGTCATTGTGCAGCAGTACTCCACTCTAGAGAGCACAAGCGTTTTGAAAAGTATCATCATCGGTATAGCATCTCTAGTGTGAAAAGTTCTTGTTATCCAACCTGTCATTTTTCTTGCAGTTGTGACGGCTACTTTATTGTGTTCTTTAAAGGTAAGGTCTTCCGACATGAGTACACCCAGATCCTTTACGTTGCCTTTTCGTTCTATGTTATGATTTGCTTGAGTTTTGTACGTGGTTTCCGTTTTTATATTTTCAATTTTTCCGTAGCGCATGAGCTGGAACTTATCCTCGTTAAACACCATATTATTTTCTGTAGCCCATAGAAAGACCTGATCTACATCTGACTGGAGGTTCGCCGTGTCCTCTATGTTGCCAACTCTCATGAAAATCCTAGTGTCTTCTGCAAAGGATGATACAGTGCTATAGGTTGTGTTCTTGTCTATGTCCGATATGAGGATGAAAAAAAGTACTGGAGCAAGCACAGTCCCCTGGGGGACTGAGCTCTTCACGGTTGATGGGCTGGATTTTATTTTGTTGACTATTACACATTGGGTTCTGTTAGTCACGAAATTGTAGATCCATCTGCCTATTTTCCCGGTAATTCCTTTTGAACGCATTTTATGTGCAATAACACCATGGTCACATTTATCAAAAGCTTTTGCGAAATCTGTGTAAATTACATCAGCGTTTTGTTTGTCTTCCATAGCATCTAATGCCATATCATAGTGGTCCAGCAACTGCGACAGGCAAGAGCGCCCTGTTCTGAAACCATGTTGTCCGGGGTTATGGAGATGCTGTGATTCCATGTATTTTGTGATCTTACTTCTTAGCACTCTCTCAAAAATTTTTATGATGTGCGATGTTAGTGCTATCGGTCTGTAATACAGAATGTGAAGGGCCTGCGATAGTGTTTTTTTTACAGTTCTTGATGAATGTAAACTAGCACCCGCACTCCAGGAGGAGTGCGGGTGCTCTTCAGGAGAAGAGCACCCGCACTCCTGAAGGGCACCCGCACTCCTGAGTCTCCGTCACACAATATCGTCCGAAAATGTTCATTTGTGGGTAGATGAGAGAGACATATTATGTGTAAGGGAAGATGAGGGTGGTGTTGAGGTCTTAAGGTGGCGACGTGCCAGTCAGGTCAGGTCCTGAGGGGTGCCAACACGATGTCCTGACACTCAGGTCCTGACACTCAGGTCCTGACACTCAGGTCCTGTTATGGAGAACCAATTTGGTTCTGGGCTTAGGTTACGTCTTATCGACCTTTGGAGGGTTATTGAGGTCTATCAACCTCTGGAAGGTTATTAAGGTCTATCGACCTCTGAAGGGTTGTTAAGGCCTATCGACCTCTGGAGGGTTATTAAGGCCTATTAACATCTGGAGGGTTATTAAGACCTATCAACCTCTGAAGGGTTATTAAGGCCTATCAGCCTCTGGAGGGATATTAAGGTCTCTCAACCTCTGGAGGGTTATTAAGGCCTATCGACCTCTGGAGGGTTTGTAAGGCCTATCGACCTCTGGAGGGTTATTAAGACTTATCAACCTCTGGAGGGTTATTAAGGCCTATCAGCCTCTGGAGGGTTATTAAGACCTATCAACCACTGGAAGGTTATTAAGATCTATCAACCTCTGGAGGGTTATTGAGGCCTATCAACCTCTGGAGGGTTATTAAGGCCTATCAACCTCTGGAGGGTTATTAAGGCTTCTCTCACACACCCCTGAAGGGCCTATAATATTTTAATAACTCTTCAGAGGTAACTCTGAAGGGTTATTAAAATATTATATTCTTTTTACGTTTCTTTTGTCAATCGAAATTAATATTTTAAATTTATTGTTGATAGCAAGTGTATTAGTGTGTTATAAGATTATTGCTTTTGTTTGTAATCTTATAAATAAAGGCTAATAATTATTAAATAAAGGCGGAGTAGGGCCTTAAAAAGCATTCAGAGAAAAACAGTTAAAAAAAGACAGTTAATTAAGTCACTTTGTGACAAAAACAAGAATTAAAATTTAAGATACATTTTTTTTTGTAATATCATGATTAAATTTAGTGTATTGTAATCATTAACAGAATCAACCGTGACGCCAGGCTGGTAGGTGTTTCTCAGAGTGAGAGAGAAGGTTCCTCCCGTGGTGTGTGTGTGAGAGAAGGTTCCTCCCATGGTGTGTGTGTGAGAGAAGGTTCCTCCCGTGGTGTGTGTGTGAGAAGGTTCCTCCCGTGGTGTGTGTGTGAGAGAAGGTTCCTCCCGTGGTGTGTGTGTGAGAGAAGGTTCCTCCCGTGGTGTGTGTGTGAGAGAAGGTTCCTCCCGTGGTGTGTGTGTGAGAGAAGGTTCCTCCCGTGGTGTGTGAGAGAAGGTTCCTCCCGTGGTGTGTGAGAGAGAAGGTTCCTCCCGTGGTGTGTGAGAGAGAAGGTTCCTCCCGTGGTGTGTGTGTGAGAGAGAGAAGGTTCCTCCCGTGGTGTGTGAGAGAGAAGGTTCCTCCCGTGGTGTGTGTGTGAGAGAGAGAAGGTTCCTCCCGTGGTGTGTGTGTGAGAGAAGGTTCCTCCCGTGGTGTGTGTGAGAGAGAGAAGGTTCCTCCCGTGGTGTGTGTGTGAGAGAAGGTTCCTCCCGTGGTGTGTGTGTGAGAGAAGGTTCCTCCCGTGGTGTGTGTGTGAGAGAAGGTTCCTCCCGTGGTGTGTGTGTGTGAGAAGGTTCC